CAATCAATGATATAAAATAAAATAATAATAATCAATAATTCTCTCAGTCTGTTCTGAAACTGTAAACACTAGAAAGTTCAGATATTTGTGTAAAAAGTTCAGAAACCTGAAAATAAACTACTTAAAGGGACATTGTGTAGGAATTTCTCCCATCTAGTGGTGAAATTGTATTTTGCATTCAAACGAATAGTGCTCTCTCGTGCCTCAGGTTTTCAAATGCGTATTGCAACTACGGTAGCCGTTATGTACCAAGAAGCCTACCTGTGGAGGAGAAAGCAGGCAACTTCAGCGTCCCTTTGAAAGTCTTTCTCCTTCATTAGCTCTTTCCACCTGGGAAAAGCTACCCCGATGTTTACCCTCGTTTTTTGAATTTGGCGGTCACATTGCCTTTTTAATTCCCCTTTTGGCTTTGTTGGTGACGAGGATTCCTTCTCCTGTGGCTCGGCATAAGTATGATCCTCCATTATTAACTAAAGTGCAGTGCAGACTTTCAAATGTGCCGGGCAGTGACAAGCGCCTCTCACTGATCTCCTTCTCCGTTATAACTGGTTACAGTCACGTGACGCTGGCTCTGAACGAGAACGCGTTGTGGATTAGTTAGACAGGTAGGCTAGTGCTTTATGTCCCTCTCGGTGATTATAGTTTTTCAAAATGGCGGTACGACATGGAAGCCTCCATGGACTTGCCCGTCCAATGTATATACAGATAAGAAATTCTTCCCTTACGAGGATAAGTCAGATCATTGGCAGAGGTAATTTTACACCAATGAGGACACATTTATGAATGAAAACATTGATTTTAGCTAATACAATACTTAAAACACTACACAATGTCCCTTTAAGTGAAGTAACAAAGTATTTGTACTCACAAAACAAACCGTGGTACCGTCTGTATACTGTAAAATATTAAACATTAAAATGTTCTCAATCTCTGATGTGTTCATAAACATCCGCAGTGACATCATATCCAGACAACCAATAAGAACACAGTAGCAGTTTGTATGAGGCATTTACTGAACCAATCAGGTGACAGGATGAGCTCGTTGGATACACAGTGCTGAGAAAATAAAAGCAGTCTCTGTGAGGTACAGAGGAGGCAGTCCTGTTGCATTCTGGGTAATGTTCTGAAGCGTGTTTCGTCCTTTAACTCGTGAAGCTGCTGTTTGAATGGAAACCGCTCCCTGACTGTTGATCGGCTGATGGCCTGGTGGAGGTATGACATTGTCATCTTCAGTCTCGTCCTGACTGGACGCTGAAAGAGTTTGACTTCCTGTTTCTGTAGATCAGAAAAGAAAAAAAATCATTAAAACTTTCAGTCCTGGGCCAGAATAAAGTCTGGATTAAACTGGATTAAACCGGATTAAACCGGATTAAAGGGGGTTAAGACTGGGATAGAGCTAGGGCTGGGTGCTGATTTACATTATAGACATTAGTGACATTAAATATTATAATTATAGTCATTAGTGACATATACAACTATAACAATTAATAAACGTAATATATGTTCAGTATTGGACTGTATGAAACTAAAATAACTGTGAAAGGAACATTTATAGCAAACAGTATGGAAGCAAAACATCTAATCTGACCCAAAAAACAAGAAGGAGAAGGGACTGACTGTGTGGGGACGTTCATGGTTCTAGGAAATATTGTCAGAGTGAGACCTCTTCCTGTCTCTGAGGTAGAGACCAGCTACCCGGCTCTTTTACCTGTTGCTCTGCTCTCCGCTGTGGCGAGGAGAGGATGCACCACAGTTTGCATCCCAGAGGACGATGAACGGACTCACTGACGAGCAGATACAGGTTAGCTGCACTGCTAACAACTAGCATAACTCTGTCTGTCTGTCTGTCTGTCTTTCTGTAGTTTCAACACCATTAGGTCAGTGCCATAAAAGCACTAAAGTTCTGTACCCAGCCCTGGATTCTAATAGTGGAACCACAAAAGACCATCAGGTCTAGGCCCAGGTCTTATTAAATGAGTACTGAGGGTTTTCTTGACCCTCTTTGAACTACTGTTGATAGGGTACCCCTGGACCTGGTCTCAGGGGTTACCTTAACTCATATTGAGGTCTACCATGAGAACAAGAACTCACATCGACAGCTTTCTGGACTGGCTGTCCTTCACCCCGCAGCCACGGTCCATCGTTTTACTGCGCTGGTCCAAGGTACTGGTTCTATGGTCTCTCTGGTCCAGGGTACTGGTTCTATGGTCTCTCTGGTCCAGGGTACTGGTTCTGTGGTCCATTGTACCGGTTCTCTGCTCCATCATATTGTTCCTGTGGTCCGTGTTACTGGTTCTGTGGTCTCTCTGGTCCATGTTACTGGTTCTGTGGTCTCTCTGGTCCATGTTACTGGCTCTGTGGTCCAGAGTAATGGTTCTATGATCCCTCTGGTCTAGGGTGCCGGTTCTGTGGTCCAGCGTGCTGGCCCTGTCCAGGAGGCTGGTGGTGTTGCTGCGGATCAGGACCGGCATGGAGGAGGTGGACTGGGTTGCCATGGTGAAGTGGGCTGTCCTCAGGGAGTCGTCTATGAGACACAAAGTGAGGTCAATAAAGACTATCATTGAGAACTATTACCTGGATTTAGACTGACCAGGTGTTTGTGAGGAGGGGGTACCTTTGCTCGACAACATTGAGGACTTCCCAGGTACAGAACTACTGCTTAGCTCTTTCACCTTCCTGAAACACAGAACCAGAACGGGTGTGGTTACAGATGTGTTACAGGTGTGTTGCAGGTGTGTTTGCAGGTGTGTTACAGGTGTGGTTGCAGGTGTGGTTGCAGGTGTGTTACAGTTGTGGTTGCAGGTGTGGTTGCAGTTGTGGTTGCAGGTGTGTTACAGGTGTGGTTGCAGGTGTGTTGCAGGTGTGTGACAGGTGTGTGACAGGTGTGTGACAAGTGTGTTACAGCTGTGTTACAGCTGTGGTTGCACATGTGTTACAGGTGTGGTTGCAGATGTGTTACAGGTGTGGTTATGTCGGAGGTTTATAACATAATAATAATATAATTATAACATTGATGTAAAATATTAGCAGCTATACTAACTTGGCTAATGTTAACTGACCGACAGCCAGCTAGCTAGCACTAGGTTGTGGAAAGGGAGGAACAGATCCACTGGTAGATTCAGAGCTTTAGGATCAGCTCCCTTTGAGCCACAGGGGTACAATACCGATACCTAGGTATCAACCCGCTCAGACTAAAGACCCAGAGAAAACCAGAGACTGAACTGAAAGGAGACGGCGGTTCTTACAGGGGTCGGTCTGAGTTGGTAGATTTGGACGTTGTTGGCTGACTGCTGAGGGATCGACTCCGCGACAATTTAGCCTTTCTCATATCTTTACCTGGAAGAAGAAGAAACATCATCATCATGGTTGGTATTCCACAGAAGGTCCACAGAAGGACCAACATGGAAGATTCAGTGGCCTCCAGGATTGCAGATTGAAACTGACTGAATACCACTCGCCCACAGACAGCTGCTTGAACCCGGGGAGCTCTGCAGAAGAGAGCTGGAGCTTCTGGAAGAATAAACATCTGCAGTCACACCCGATTCTGCTCTGATCTGGAGACGTTTACACTGTATATTCTTTAAACTTTTGGGATTAAAAAGTAGATTTGCTTCCACTCTCTCTTGATTGAAGTTAGTATAGCCCTGATCAACCAATCTCGGAAAACAAGCATTTTAAAAGTTCTTTGCTTGTCGTCTTGCAAACAGACCGATAGAGTCTCAATTCTATTTATCAGATCGTTCGCAGTTTGTACATGTTAACGATGAATCTTCAATAAATACTACAGTTAGTCATGGAGTTCCACAAGGTTCTGTACTTGGACCAATACTATTTACTTTATATATGCTCCCTTTAGGCAACATTATTAGGAATCACTCCATTAACTTTCACTGTTATGCAGATGATACGCAGTTATATCTATCAATCAAGCCCAATGAAATTAATCAATTATCTAAATTACAAACATGTCTTAAGGACATAAAATCCTGGATGACCTGCAATTTTCTGATGTTAAACTCAGAAAAAAACGAAATTCTTGTTCTTGGCCCCAAAAACCTTAGAGACTCACTGTCTAAAGATATAGTTACTCTAGATGGCATTACCTTGGCCTCTAGCACCACTGTCAGGAGTCTTGGAGTTATCTTTGATCAGGATTTGTCATTTAACTCCCACATAAAGCAGACCTCTAGGACTGCCTTCTTTCATTTACGTAATATTACAAAAATTAGACACATACTATCACAGACAGATGCAGAAAAACTAATCCATGCATTTGTTACTTCAAGGCTGGATTACTGCAACTCTTTATTATCAGGTTGCTCCAATTAATTCAGAACGCTGCAGCACGAGTACTGACAGGAACTAGAAAAAGAGATCACATCTCTCCTGCACTAGCTTCTATGCACTGGCTCCCTGTAAAATGTAGAATAGAATTTAAAATCCTCCTCCTCATCTATAAAGCTCTTCATAGTCAGGAACCTGTGGTTCCTATAGTCTCTAAAAGTAGAACAGGAGCCAGAGCCTTCAGTTACCAAGCTCCTCTCCTGTGGAACCAGCTTCCAGTTGTGGTTCGGGAGGCAGACACCCTCACCACATTCAAGAGTAGGCTTAAGACATTCCTCTTTGATAAAGCTTATAGTTAGGGCTGGATCAGGTGAGTCCTGAACCATCCCTTAGTTATGCTGCTATAGGCCTAGACTATCGGGGGATTTCCCATGGTGCACTGAGCTCCTCTCTTCCTCTCTCTTTCTGCACTCATTCATGTCCCATTAATGCATGTTACTAACTTCACTTCTTCCCCGGAGTTCTTGTGCTTTCTCGTCTCGCAGGTTCTTATCGATCCTGGTGGAGCCTCCTGCCATGGTCCTGCTAGATTGCCATTGCCAATACTGTTGTTGCTGTGCATCTGTCTGTCTGTCTCTCTCTCTCTCTCTCTCTCTCTCTGTCTCTCTCACCCCAACTGGTCAAGACAGACAACCACCCACCTAGAGCCGAAGGATCTGTCCTAGGTTTCTGCCTTTTAACAGGCAGTTTTTCCTTGCCCTTGTCGCCAAGTGCTTGCTCATGGTGGTACTGTTGCCCTTGTCTCCAAGGTCTTGCTCATGGTGGTACTGTTGGGTCTCTGTAAATAATGTTTTAAAGAGATCGGTCTAGACATACTCTATTTGAAAAGTGTCCGAGATAACTTCTGTTATGAATTGGCGCTATACAAATAAAACTGAATTGAATTGAATTCAGACGTTTTACAAATCGGCATCATGACTTCATTATTTCAGCATCATTTTGATCAGTTTATTGACATTAAATCACAGAAACACCTGATTATTTTGGGCTCATACTCGTGTTCACGTTTGGTGTGAACACCAAAAGATGAAGATTGGGTTCACAGTTCTCAGGTAGAACATTTTCTACAAAAAGGCAGCTTGTCTTCATATTTTCGTCTTACCAGAGGAGGACAAGGCGGCTCCAGACGAGGACACAGACATGGATTTGGTAGCAGATAGACTGGTCTTACTGTCTCTTCCTGTCAAGAAAGACAGTTTACAGACTGGATTAATAAACTCTGACCAGTTATACCAGTTAACCAGAACTCTCCTCTGTGAATCACAGTTTTGCTCACGTTTTCTCTCAATGTGTTTCTCGGAGTTCAGTTTCCCCTCGCTCTGTTGGCGCTCGAGCTGTTCCTGACCACAGAGGTGACGCCATTAAAACAAAACAAGAAGTGATTCAGACAGAACATCATCTGTCAGGTTCAGACTCACCATCTCCAGCAGCAGAGTCTCCTCCTTCTCCTTCTTCTGGTCCAGTAAATCCCTCTCCTGCCTCTTGTGAAACTGCAGTGACACAACAGAGCAGATCAGGAGCAAGACCCTCAGCTGAGGTTCACTACAGTTTGTTCTGTTACTTACAGGCTCTGTGAGGTCCAGTTTGTCCAGTTCCAACACTGTCTGAAAAACATGAAGACCACAGTTAATCCTTCATTGATTCTCACAGATAGTCCTCTAGTCTGACAGGTCTCAGGTAGTGAAGGTGTTACCTTGCGGATGGTGGCCACCACGTCCTTGTCTTTCTCTCTGCAGAGCAGTTTCTGGACACAGAAGTCGAGCTGCTGCAGCAGCTGCTTGTCGGCTGGCAGGCGAAGTGACGAACGCAATCTGGGCAACAGCTGGCACAGCTTGTACCTGACACATAGATGAACGGGCAGACAGGTGTGTTACAGCTGACATCAGAAAGACAGATTTTGCCTGCCATAGAACACCGTCAGAGCTACCTGACGTTGGCGACCGGGTCGTGGACCAGCTCCAGTGCCGGGATCAGGAAGTGCTTGTTGAAGTATTTTCTGGAGAAAATCTCGGTGGCTGTTTCACAAACATCAAGGAACCTCAGACGGTTCCAGTAGCTACGCCCCTGAGCCAGATCTGAGGACCAGAAACAACCAGATGAACCGTCAACGCTTCGTCCGGCAGCCATGAAAAGATTCTGCTTTAGTCTCACTGTTGGCTCATTGTGTTTCTAACTGAACACAGATCCTTACGTTGGCAGCTAATGCAGAGTTCACACTACATGATTTTAGTCCTGATTTTCCGATCACCACTATGTGTGAACTGTTCAAGACACAATCAGAGAACTTGCAGAGAGCTCGCAGACACAAGACAAATATCTATTAGGATAAATATCTGTTGGTGTCAGGAAGCAACAAGCTACAGCCAGTAAGAGCGGCCTCTCTAAAGAACCAGGCAGGAAGCAGAGAACTGGGTAGTTACTATGGTAACAGCTGAAAAAACACTGTCACACACACATAAGACGATGAATGGACAGCGTTATGAGTCGGTGTTCAGTTGGTTCAGTATCTGATCCACAACCAGCTCTGATTGTACTGAGAAATGATTGTTATTGAAACAGTCCACCTCTTATTCCCACTAATCAGTATACACTGTATCTTTATGGATGATATTGATCAGTATACACTGTATCTTTATGGATGATATTGATCAGTATACACTGTATCTTTATGGATGATATTGATCAGAATACACTGTATCTTTATGGATGATACTGATCAGTATACACTGTATCTTTATGGATGATATTGATCAGAATACACTGTATCTTTATGGATGATACTGATCAGTATACACTGTATCTTTATGAATTATTGATCAGTATACACTGTATTTTTATAGATGATATTGATCCTGTATTGACAGTCAGACTGTGGACATATGACGGCCTTTAGCTTGTGTTTCTAGAGTTATGTGTTGTTATGGACACGTTACGAATTGTTAAAATGTGACATTTCTTAAAGGGAGTTTGGTGCAGGGAGCTTTTAGTTGGATTCAAACTGCTAATATGGATCATTGTTAATGTTTTGTCTCCACTACAGAGACACTAGCTAACTGCTAAAGTCTGATACGGTTGTCTGACGTTGTTAGTTTGATTGATGCTTTAATAATGTGTGTATTGATTACTGATTAGGCTGATCAGGATCATTATCAGATAATTGTACTGTTTCTAACAGTAGTATGCTGTAAATGATTGCCCTTTGTGTGCCTGTTTTTGAACTACTTTCCTAATTAAACATGATGTGTTTGTTATTGATGACTGCTGATGAAAGTAGGAAGTTGTGCATTGTGACCAGTAAAGAGAATATTCTGACCCTGGATCAGCCTCTCCATCATCTCTTGACGTTGCTCTTGTTTGCGGTTGTAACGGAGGAACGTGCAGAATGTCCGAGCCGCCTCCTTCTGAACTGGCAACACCTTCTGTAACAACAACCAGAGCGGAAGTTACCTGTCTGTTCACTGGTCTACCTGTTGCATTGTGTGGTGTGCGGTGTTGCTGACGTTGGTGGTGAGGATGATGAAGATGCGTGGGGAGAAGCTCTGGTGTAGCAGTTCTCCAGGCAGCAGTCTGGCCAGGCAGCTGTAACGCTGCAGTAGCTTCTCGTGCAGCCGCCAGCGCAGAGAACATCCAACCTTCTGCTCTGCCAGCAGCAGAGCCGCCAACAGCTCCGGAAACTGATGAGGAACCACAGAAACCAGAGGAGAACAAAGAGGAACCAGAGGAGAAAGGAGAACCAAGATTGGAGAGGTCCCACAAACAAAGAAAAGAGCTAAAGGAGTAATAAACTCATGTGAACTACCTTGTTGTCCAGTGTCAGGTTGTCTCCTCTCGAAAGAACCGCCTCCAATGTCTCCTCCAGGTGATTCATTAGAGCATCCAACACCTGAACAACAACAATACAAGCTTCAGCATGTAAAACTGACATACAATCGCTGTGTTTGGTTCATTGACTTATAATATTTGTATTTTATTATTCTTTATTGTATTTCTACACATCTGTACTTTTTGCACTACATTACATTACAGCACTACCTATGCTGCTGTGTCAAAAATGAATTTCTCCAATGGGGGATCAATAAAGGAAGCTCTTATCTTATCTTACATCTTATACAGAGTGTGTACGCTGGCTCACAGTGCGGGTCAACATATGTGTCATTGAGGATTTGAAGCAGGATTAAGGGCTGATGATGATGATGACGGAGTTCTGATATAGTATGAAGTGCTTCCTCCCCTTTGAGTCTTGTATAGAAACTGCAACAAACAGCAGTGCGTCCTGATTGGCTGAGCAGTGTCCGTGGTGGGAGGGGACTCACCTCCAGAGCGTCGTCCTGCAGCAGAGCCAGCAGCTCTTTGTGGACCAGCTGGACGTTGGAACCCAGTAGCTTCACCACCTGACAGGAAGGGGTAGGGCCAATCATGTGACATGACGGAAGAACTACAGTCCGATGTACAGAGTAGGGACCCACCCCAATCAAAACCAGTATCAGGTATCAGGTCCCATACTCGGAAATCAACATAATCTATTAAACCTAATACCACTTTACAGGAGCGTGACGATACGTAACATCTTGTTGGTTAATCAGGTCGGTTTAACAATATTCAATGTATTAGAGTCAGAAAGTGATCCAAAGTCATTATTAAAACTGTAATGGTATTAAATCTATTACAGATTACTGATTGAATCAACTACATATAGAACATAAATCTATAGTTTATACACTGTTTAATGATTATAGATTAAAGATTATTGATTTAAGTTGAGGTTAGTTGAGTTGTATACTTATCATTATCCCAAATGTTTTCCAACAATGAGAAATCTGTCATTTTATTCAGGTAACGCTGCGTTTCACCGGGCGCCTTGCGATGGCTTGATATCCGCTTTGTGCCTGCGTCAGCATTGTGGTTGTCTGCCAGTTTATCCAGTCTGAAGCCTCATTTTTACCATCCACTGTTTAGATCTTGGTGCTTTTTAACTCTAGATTTGAACCGGATGAAGGATTTTAGTCATCGGACGTCTGGATCTTATCAGAGAAACAAGCTGAGCTAACGTTAGCAGCAGTTACATATTTTAAGTATTCATATTGGTACTCTCAAGTATCCAAATGTAAGTACTTATACTTATACTGGTCTTAACAGAGCAGTCTAAGAACTTTCAAATTACATTTCAGTCAAACAACTCACATTTGAAGTATTTATTAAAGCAGTATAGCATATTTTGATTTTGGCGTCTAGGCTCCGAGCTCATCACTCCCCGCAGATATGCTTACATAGAGATATTGGGGAGTGATAAGCAAATACCTTAAACCCCTAGCCGGAGCCTACAGGTGGAGGCTGGGGTGGTGGTGGGGCTTACAGAGCAGCAGGAGCAATACGGATGCAGGGCAACATCAGCATTGACTGAGCAGAGGGAGAGCTGGGAAATTGTGCAGTTTAAATAGACCGCCAGATTGGAAAGGAGCACTTGGTTAGTGATTATCGAGTGAGGCATGTCATGTGTGTATAGCAGCTCAAGTTGACTGCCTGAACTAGCTCGCAGGCTTCGCTCCATTTGTGGTTTTATTTCCTTAACAATAAGCAGAATCTGATGTCTAGGTGTCTGAGACACCTCAACAGGTACTTCAGTGATCTTCTTTCTGCCCACAGGAATGACATCCATGATCTTCCCTCTAGCGCCACCTTCAGGACAAACTCTAAGAACAGATAAAGGATCTTCTCTGACCTGGTGGAAACTGGCTGCAGCACTCCGTCGAACGCTGACCTCTGGGTCACAGCAGAGACTGGAGAAAGATGGGTAGAGCTCTGACAGAAAATGAGCTGAGTCAGAAAACACCACCATGGCCTGGAGAGAGAGGAGAAAATGACATCAGATGTCTGGAGCACTGAATATTGAAGCTGTGAGTGTTTCTGTCTGTACCGGCAAGTTGTAGCAGCAGTTGCAGCGGATCAGTGTCAACTCGTTGTTGCCATCAGTCTGGTTCCCTTCGGTCTGCAGACCAGCAACACACAGGACCTTAAACCTCTGCAGCAAGCGGCCCTGTTGCTCATCTGACAGAGAGCCTGGAACACAACAACCGCACATCAGAGACACAAATCACCATACTGCCCACACCTCGAATGCACCTTCAGATCCAAGTCACACAACACCACAGACAACCAGCTTTCGCTCGGGCTATACAACAACTGAAGGACTCCTAGTAACAGTCCTAGTACCCCACAGTACCTACAAAACACATGTAGACTGGATGGACAGACTTCCATGACACCTCCAGGATCCCTGCTGGTCCACACCTTCTTTTATCCTTTTTTAAATCTTAGGAAGCAAAACAGCATTCTGCCAGTCCACAGGTACAGTCCCTCTGTGAGACATTTAAGAGGGATTTCAACTAAGACAGCCCAACAGTGTCTTCAGCGTTCAGGTCACATCCCCAATCCCGGGGGTCTGGACGTTAGTCTCACCTGCCAGTCCACTGCAGAGCTTCCCAAACTGGAACGACAAAGACGCCACGACAGCTTCGTCTGCCTGTGATGACACCTCACATACCGACATAACCAGGGGAACCACCACATGGAGTCTGTCATCTGAGGGAAGAGGAGCATAGAGGTTCATTGAGATCTGGACTGAACCTTCTCACAGTCTGATGAAAAACCTTAAACCATTTTGACTTAAACTGACCACAGATCTGTAATGACTCACCACTGTCTATCATCTCCATCAAGTTGATGATGGTGTCGAAGGCAGCAAGGCGAACACTGCTATCCTCGTCTTCGGCGAGCTCCACCAGTTCAGGAAGCAGCTCAGTCCTGGTGTCATCCACCCTGAAGTAGAGACAGGAGACACATGTCTCACCACAGCAGGAGGTTTGATGTGTGTTTGGTTTCACTGTTCAGTGTTTGCTGGTGTTTACCCGGTTGCTCTGGCGATGTTCTCCAGCTGTCGGCACATACAGGCCCGGACCTCAAATTCCACGTCCTGACATAAAGAACGAATCAACGGCAGCAGCTCCTTCTTCACTCTGATAGACAGGAAACACTCCTGTTAGTGTCCAACAGGTGTGACAACACACCTGAGCCCAGTATATACAAATGCATACTATTATAGATATAGGTGCATCTCAATAAATTAGAATATCATGACAGAGTTCATTTATTTCAGTAATTCAATTCAAAAAGTGAAACTCATATATTATATAGATTCATTACACACAGACTGAAATATTTCAATTTTGATGATTATGGCTTACAGATAACAAAACCAAAAATTCAATATCTCAGAAAATTTGAATATTTCATAAGACCAATACATTTTAATACAGAAATGTCGGCCTACTCAAAAGTATGTTCGTATATATGCACTCAATACTTGGTCGGGGCTCCTTTGCATGAATTATTCCATCAATGCAGCGTGGCATGGAGGCAATCAGCCTGTGGCACTGCCGAGGTGTTATGGAAGTCCAGGTTGCTTTGATAGCGGCCTTCAGGTCATCTGCATTGTTGGGTCTGGTGTCTCTCATCTTCCTCTTGACAATAGCCCATAGATTCTCTATGGGGTTCAGGTCAGGTGAGATTGCTGGCCAATCAAGCACAGTAAAACCATAGTCATTGAACCAGGTATTGGTACTTTTGGCAGTCTGGGCAGGTGCCAAGTCCTGCTGGAAAATGAAATCAGCATCTCCATTATGCTTATCAGCAAAAGGAAGCATGATGAAGTGCTCTAAAATGTCCTGGTAGATGGCTGCGTTGACTTGATAAAACACAGTGGACAAACACCAGCAGATGTCATGGCTCCCCAAATCATCACTGACTGTGGAAACTTCACACTGAACTAAAAGCAACTTGGATTCTGTGCCTTTCCACTCTTCCTCCAAAGTCTGGAGGAAGACCTTGATTCTAGGGATGCACCGATCCACATTTTTTCACTTCAGATCCGATCCCGATACCTGAATTTGGATATCGGCCGATACCGATACTATTCCGATACCAGAGCTCTGTTTGCTTTAATATTATTATCATCATCATTATTGTTGATTTTATATGAGGCTGAAATAAACTCCTCTCAACAGGAAAGTATGATATGTACGTATATATGCATGTATGTCCCAAAAGGCAACTTGAGGTAAGTATAAGGTCAGAAAAGGAAGTCAGAAAAACAGGAATTCCTGTAGTGTGTGTAGTACTACTGTATATACAGTGTGTGTACAGTGTACTGTATATACTGTGTGTACGGTGTGTACTGTATATACAGTGTTTAGTACTACTGTACGGAGTTTTTTGTGATTGTTGCAGGGGAAAAATCCTTGATTATGCAGCATGTTTTCTTAAAAAATGCTATGGAATATTCATGTGATGAAATTGCGGGAACTTGCAAAAATTGCGGGAACTTGCAAAAATTGCGGTTTGATGAAAAAGAGAAAAAAAAAGTGATTCCTCCAACACCCTGTTCTCACTTGGCTACTACCTTAATGTAAAGAGTAATTTCTTATTACTTCCTATGATAAGCAAGCATACTACATCACAGAAAGTACTGGGAATATTTAAGTTCTCATCTTGTTTTATTTCAGACCTTAATAAACACATGGCTCAAACTTACAAAACATTGATGAGTCAAACAAGTTCTGTAGCTTTACAAAAGGAATGTGCTATAACTTCTGTACAAATTAATAAATAAAATATAAAAAAATAAAATGTGTGCTTCCTGTTTTACAGCAGTAGCTTTACAAAACAGACATCGTCTGTTTAAATAAGTGCTTCCAATGCACAAAGTGCAATCTCTTACTGTAATGTAATTTACATACTACTAATATACTTACAACTGTAAGGTTTTTTAAACTAATATGAGCTTTTCGATGATGTTCACGTCGCGTAATTACGTCACTTCATAACGTTCCCATGGCAACAGGGGAAAATGGCTGCTCTTGTGTGAAGTAAACGCAACATTTTTCAACTTTCTGCTAAGATAGATGTGATTTTTTTGCAATGAAAATGTGGGGATTATGAAATCATGCAAGCCCCGCATATTTTGCGCAAAAAGTGTGGCGTATTTGAAAAAATGCAGCCCCTGCATAAATATGCAGACTTTGGCTGATTATGCATTGAATTATGCGATCGCATAATCGCGTTTTTCTGGAGGGATTGATATACAGTGTGTGTACAGTGTGTACGCAGGGTTGCAGCTCACATGTGAGAATCAAACTTGCAGGCGACTTTCCCTAAAATGCGACAGCTGGCCAAACGAGCCTGAAGGGAGTGAGACAGCTGAGACTGATAGAGGAGAGGGTTCAGCACCTGCAGAAAACAGACAGGTACAGACAGAGACAGGTAGATAGAGCAGTACCATAGAGATAAACTCATGCACACATCTTCTGGGCATCTTATCTAGTTGCCCGGACTGTTTTAATACTGATTATCAGCTGGTATTGAACAATAAATAATCCTGATCACTGTACCTCCTGTTTGATAGTCTCCCTGGGCAGAGCATTGATGGCCGACAGCAGAGTCTCCAACCAGGCGTTGCTCACCACTGTTAAACATCAGCAACGTCAATGTCAATAACAACATCAATATCAACGTCTGTGGTTCAGGTGTTGTTACAGTGTGTCTGTGGTTCAGGTGTTGTTACAGTGTGTCTGTGGTTCAGGTGTTGTTACCTGTGGTCCAGGTGTTGTTACCTGTGTCTCTGTGGTTCAGGTGTAGCAGCACAGTCTTCAGGATGGAGTAGGTGTGGGTGTGGATTAGGATGATGTCATCCTGCAGGATAGTTAAAAACGACGCTGCTGCCGCCAGCTGGATTTCTGCTCCGGCTCCGTTCAAGACCTCCTGAGTCAGACAGATAGAACGGATAACCTGTATGGCACACCTGTTCCACACACCTGCCGTTTCCTACACACTGCCCACCGGTGACTGTTACCTACAGTCTGACTAATGTACGTACCCTGACCTTCGGTACAACCCGACGAAACGTCTCAGCTGGATTCTGGCGGACGAGGCTCGGCAGGTTACTGATGACACTGGCTCTCTGCACCTCCTGACCCACACTGACCAGAGGAAGAGGAAAACCTCACATTAAAACACACCTGGAGACAGGTATACCTGAGCCTGGGAAGATTTTGTTTGACATTATAGATGTGACTACATTGGTACGCCAACCCTGGGGTCTAAATATACCATGAACCGGTCGATGGTCCGATTCTAAAGTTATGAATTGGTTGACTGAAGCTTTGCTGCTACAGCGTCTCCACTCTCCTAAAGGTCAATGCCAGGGTCTCGCTACAAGATTGACGAGAGCAACATTAGCGCAGCATGGCTTGCCGCTAACGTTGGCACAATTGCAACATCTAAAATTACAGTGCAACATCCAAAGTTTGGAAAACATTGGGATTTGGTAAGAAGGACGGAAAGTTGGTAGAAAAGTCTGTCCATTTGTAAGATCTGTCGGACAGTAATTAAATCCAGTGGTAGCACAATAGATCTTAACTCTCACCTGGTGACACCTTTCCCATAAAGAAAAAAAATACTTTTCCCTGGTATTTTATAGAAAATATGTATTTGAAGGTAATCAATGTCACTTATTACTTATTGTAGAATTGGCTTATTTTAATGTAGAATGTCTACATTAAACAAATGTTAAGAACTGTTGTTCCAGATTAAAGGGACACTTCACCCATTTGCATTAAGCTTTGTATCATTAGAACCCCAGTCATATTTTTGAATGGTCTGGCATCATTCCCTCACTTTCCCTGAGAGGGGAGAAATACGGATTTTAGTGTTGCACTTCCTGCTTCCAATGATGTAAAAATCGTCATTTTGCGTCATTGGAAGCAGGAAGTCTCATATCTCTGTAGAGGGGGTGAGACTACAAACACTACTTCCTATTTTTTTTTTTCACTCACGCTACAGCCCTATTACCGATCAGTGGGTGGGACTTCACTTGCAGAAACTAAAAAATATAACCGCCATCTTGTTTGGAAGCTAAGCGGAGGTGCTGGCAAGCCAGATGTTAAGACTATGTTAATTAATGTAATATGGAAGAATTTCCGAAAGTATGATGGTCAAATCAGATGTTCGTGGCTACCTTTATGAGCCGCAATATAGCGAAGAGCAGCTGAGGCTGAACAGGAGGCGGCTGAGGCTTCTGCAGCCGAGGCAGAGGACCTGCCTGTTGCGGATGAGGAGCCCGGACTGGCTCGAGCTGGAGCGGACTGCTGGTGCCTGTGCTCTCATTGTGCGCCTAGGAACACACGGACGTCTGACGGTAAAGTGAGTGTTTCTATTTTCTGTCTTATAACAACGTGGCATGTATGTACACAATTTGTTCAAGTATTATCACAAAGTTATTCCCGGTTAATACGTAACGTCAGCCAACTGAACTAACGTTAACTTCTTTACTGCACAAACAGCTTGCAGTTGCATTGCTAACTACTGTGGCACGCTAAACACAAAGACCATGCATCGCTAACTGTGTGCTCAATGTCTTGTAGACAATATCGCCTAACAGCCTTTCTGGAATGGGTCCTGCAAGGCGAGAGATTGGGTCGAGGCCATCGCGTCGTTTTACCCGCTGATGTGGTGCAGGCTATCCGACAGAAATATCCAGCTCCAGATGGCCAGTACTGCGGCACCGAGACGTTGAGGATGCTCAGGAGGAACTATAACTGTCATTGTTAACATATTTATTGTTGTTGTTGTTGATATATTTCTGTAAATAAATGGTTTACATTCACGTTGTTGTAGTCCTTGATAGTGTTGGTGGGAGCGGCTTACAAGGCTGTGCATTGTGGGAGTTGTTGTCTTTAATACAAATGCGCCCTAAAGTCACTTTCTGTCTTTTCTCGGTCAAATAGGCACCAAATTCAAAATGTATGTTACATTTCGACTACATATATAACCCACTTTCAATAAATATTAATGTTTCCACAGTTGAAATGCTCCTTTAAAATGTCCCTGAATCATATTGTAGCCCAGGTACCTGGATACATATCAGATCCTAACATACAGATAACTTTAGTCCCTCACAAATTGATAATCTTGTTAATAGTGCGGCAGGCTCACTGCGAACAACATTCTATCGCCAATATAAAGAGGAAAATATTAAAACATAGGAGACTAGTACCGTGGTACAACCACAAAACCCGCCAATTAAAGCAAAAACCTATAGAAAGGCCCTCGGTAATGCTAGATGAGCCTATTACTCAGCACTAATAGAAGAAAATAAGAACAACCCCAGGTTTCTCTTCAGCACTGTAGCTGGGCTGACAGAGTCAGAGCTCTATTGCGCCACGTATCCCCATAACCCTCAGTAGCAACAACTTAATGAGCTTCTTTCATGATATGTCTCTCCAAGTTCAGGAATTTTAACAAATGTAAAATCAGATATATACTTGGACTGTTTTTCTGCTATCAATCTTCATCAACTAACTTGAATAATTTCCACATCGAAGCCATCAACCTGTCTGTTAGACCCCATCCCAACTAGGCGGCTTAAAAAAGTCCTACCCTGTGTACTTAACGAAACATAGTAGCCTTGTGTACTGTATTACCATTGCTGGCTGTTACCCTGTGTGGCTTGGGCCATCACACCCCTTCTTAAAAGCCCACTCTTGACCCAGGGGTTTTAGCCAACTATAGACCGAAATCTAACCTCCCCTTCCTCTCTAGATCCTGGAGAAAGTAGTCGCCAAACAGTTGTGTGACTTTCTACATAGAAATAGATTATTTGAGGATTTTCAGTCAGGATTTAGAGTTCATCACAGCACAGAGACAGCTCTGGTTAAAGTTAATAATGACCTTTTAATTGCTGACAATGGACTCCTCTCTGTACTTGTATTATTAGATCTTAGTGCTGCATTTGACACCATTGACCATAATATTGTTTTACAGAGACTTGAGCATCAAATCGGCATTAAAGGAACCGCACTAAGCTGGTTTAAGTCATATTCATCAGCTCATTCTCAGTTTGTACAAGTTAACGCTGAATCCTCCGTAAAAACTAAAGTTAGTCATGAAGTTCCACAAGGTTCTGTACTTGGACCAATTCTATTCACTGATGTGCTTCCCTTAGGCAACATTATTAGGAATCACTCCATTAACTTTCACTGTTATGCAGATGATACCCAGTTATACCTGTCGATCAAGCCCAATGAAATTAATCAATTATATAATTTACAAACATGTCTTAAGGACATAAAATCCTGGATGAGCTGCAATTTTCTGATGCTAAACTCAAAACAAACTAAATTCTTGTATTAGGCCCCAAAAACCTTAGAGACTCACTGTCTAAAGATATAGTTACTCTAGATGGTATTACCTTGGCCTCTAGCACCACTGTCAGGAATCTTGGCGTTATCTTTGATCAGGACATGTGCTTTAATTCCCACATTGCAAACCTGCAGGACTGCCTTCTTTCATCTACGTAATATTACAAACATCAGACACATCCTGTCACAGCTGGATGCAGAAAAACTAATCCATGCATTTGTTACTTCTAGGCTGGATTACTGCAACTCCTTATTATCAGGTTGCACCAATAAGTCCATTAAGATGCTTGATTCAGAACGCTGCAGCACGAGTACTGACAGGAACTAGGAAAAGAGATCATATCTCTTCTGTATTAGCTTCTCTGCACTGGCTCCCTGTAAAATTTATATATATATATAAATATAATTTAAAATCCTCCTCCTTACCTACAAAGCTCTTCATGGTCAGGCCCCTTCATATCTTAAAGAGCTCATAGTACCCTATTACCCCACTAGAACACTGCGCTCTCTGAATGCAGGGCTACTTCTTTCCTATAGTCTCTAAAAGTAGAACAGGAGCCAGAGCCTTCAGTTACCAAGCTCCTCTCCTGTGGAATCAGCTTCCAGTTGTGGTTCAGGATGCATATTTAAGAGTAGGCTTAAGACGTTCCTCTTTGATAAAGCTTATAGTTAGGGCTGGCTCAGGTGATTCCTGAACCATCCCTTAGTTATGCTGCTCTAGGCCTAGACTATCGGGGGATTTCCCATGATGCACTGAGCTCCTCTCTTCCTCTCTCTTTCTGCACTCATTCATGTCCAATTAATGCATGTTACTAACTTCACCTCTTCCCCGGAGTTCTTGTGCTTTCTCGTCTCACAGGTTCTCATCGATCCTGGTGGAGCCTCCTGCCATGGTCCTGCTAGACTGCCATTGCTAATATCACTGATATTATTGTTATTATTATTATTATTACAGATACTATTATTACTATTATCACTGCTCATTGTCCCCCATCGTTGTTGTTGTTGTCGTCATCATCTTCATGTTCATCATCATCCATCACTACTATTAGTGTAGTTGTTGCTACTGTTGTTGCTGTGCACCTGTCTGTCTGTCTGTCTGTCTGTCTGTCTCTGTCTCTCTCTCGCTCACCCCAACTGGTCGAGGCAGACAACCGCCCACCTAGAGCCGGGGTCTGTCCAAAGGTTTCTGCCTCTTAAAAGGACGTTTTTCCTTGCCACCATCTCCAAGGTCTTGCTCATGGTGGGAACTGTTGGGTCTCTGTAAATAATGTCCTGAGATAACTTCTGTTATGAATTGGCGCTATTTCAAATAAAACTGAATTGAATTTAATTGAATCCTCTTAGAGGGGACAGATAGACACAGTCCAGGATCTCTGTGAGGTTTCAGTACAGACACTGAATGAGTTCAGTGAACTAGTTCAGATCCTCTGGGATCAGACGGCAGGATGACGATTACCTTCAATGTTTAATTGGTTTCAGAGTTTACTGGGTCAGAGCAGCTTCTTCCTCCAGCTTCTCAGAAATCTTTCCACCTATAAAAGACTTCATTGTGTTTCACAAAATAACAAACTGGAACTAGTTTTAACATTTTTACAATGATGTGAACTTCACGCTAATGAGTTATGAAAGACAGAGACATTAACACACAGCTCTTACCTGAGCAGGTAGACTGCCCTCTCAATGTCGTTCAGGTCTTCATCCACAGTCAGCTGATCGATCTCCTCCGCCGTCTGACAGGAAACAACAAACATATTCAAACCAAAGAGATTCTTTATTGTTAAAATGTAATTTTAGAACAATAATAACACCCACAGCTTGTGACAGTTTTAGTTTGATCACATTTCTGATTATATCTTTATGTACACCCCACATTCATGGTTTAAAACGGTTAAAGTGAAAAATTATCCACAACTTCACTGGAAGGCTTCATCAAATCAAATCAAATCAAGTTTATTTGTATAGCCCTTTACAATAGCCGAAAGGTACCCAAAGTGCTTTACAACAGAGCCATGAAACAGTACATAACACATATATAACATACAAATACAATTTAAAGTGCTGCAGCACTGCAGGGTATTAAAAGCCTTCCAGAAATGCACAGAAAGGAGCAGATAAAAAGAGTACACCTAAGAGACAGTACTGTCCTATTCAGAATTAAAAGCTAATCTAAAAAAGTGGGTCTTAAGCTTCGATTTAAAAAGGCCGAGATCAGTAGTGGTACGAATGTCAGGGGGCAGTTTGTTCCACAGTCTAGGAGCAGCGACAGCAAAAGAACGATCGCCCCACTGTTTAAGTCTGGACCTAGGGACTTCTAACAGAAGCTGACCTGAAGAGCGCAAGGCTCTGCCACAATTGCGAAAAGTTAAAATCTCTGACAAGTAAGAGGGGGCCGAGCCGTTAATGGTGTTAAAAACAAACAACAAAAGTTTAAAATCAATTCTAAAACGGACTGGAAGCCAGTGGAGTGACGACAGCACAGGAGTAATATGTTCGCGTCTGGACGTGTTAGTTAAAAATCGGGCTGCAGCGTTCTGCACAAGTTGGAGACGAGAAATTGAGGACTGACTGAGGCCGACGTAAAGGGCATTACAGTAGTCCAGTCTTGAGCTGATAAAAGCATGGATTGCCTTCTCAAGATCCTGCCGACTGAGAAAAGACTTCACTTTGGCCAAAAGACGGAGCTGAAAAAAGCTCGTACTGACAACCGAGCTAATCTGTTTGTCAAATTTGAGCCCAGTATCAAATGTTACCCCAAGATTTTTGACATGTGATTTAAAAAGAGGGGCCAGAGTGCCAGAATTTGTGGTGAGAGCATTCGACTTAGCTGGTGAACCAAACAAAATGCATTCAGTTTTGCTGTCATTTAGGTGCAAAAAGTTCTGTGACAGCCACTGTTTTATATCTGTGATGCAGTCCAGCAGTTTAGTAAGTGCAGTGTTTTCGTTTGGTGTCATGGGCAAATATATCTGCAAATCATCGGCATAAAAGTGAAAAGACAGGTTGTGTTTTTTTATAATTGATCCCAGAGGTAGCATATACAATGAAAACAGAATAGGGCCGAGAATAGATCCCTGTGGCACCCCACAGGGCAGCGATGCATTTGAGGAGCAGTGGTCACCAATTGAGACAGAGAAACTCCTGTTTGCCAGGTATGACCTAAACCACTGGAGAGCGGTGCCACGGATGCCAACGTGCTGCTCTAAGCGAGATACAAGGACTGCATGGTCGACTGTATCAAAGGCTGCTGTGAGGTCCAGCAGCACAAGCACAGCAGGATTCCCAGCATCCACAGACAAGGCAATATCATTGTGCACCTTTAACAGTGCTGACTCGGTGCTATGTCGGGATCTAAAACCAGACTGAAATTTATCAAGAATAGAATTGATCTCCAAAAATGTCTGTAATTGAATAAAAACAACTTTTTCTAAAACCTTGGAAAGAAAAGGCAAGTGGGAGACAGGTCTAAAATTGGAGAGCACAGAGGGGTCAAGATGCGGTTTTTTTAGGAGGGGCCTAACCATAGCGTGTTTGAAGGCAGCTGGAACAGACCCTGAGCTAAGACAAGTGTTTATAAAAACAAGCAGACTTGACCCAACAGAACTCAGAACCTCCTTCAAAAACTTGGCTGGAATAATATCTAAGGGACAGTTTGTGGGTTTCATGCCACTAACCACCTTAGTAAAAGAAGACAGAGAAATGGTCTCAAACCGCTCGAAGGCAGCAGTCTGTGCCGGAGGAGCACAGACATCATCAAGAGACATATTCATATTACAGATATTCTGCCTGACAGATGCCACTTTATCAGTGAAAAAAACCACAAACTCTTCACAGGTTGCAGTGGAGGCATCAGACAGGACAGTAGGGCGTGGATTAACGACAGAATCAATAGTATTAAATAGCAGTCTTGGATGATGAGAGCTGTTAGCTATAATGGAAGACAAATATTTTGACTTGGCTTCCTTTAGAGCTCTCTGATAGGCAGCCAAACTGTCCCTTAACCAGCCCAGGGATACATGTAGTTTATCCTTTTTCCACCGCCGTTCAGCCTGTCTGCATTGTTGTCTGAGCAGACGGGTGTGATCATTTAACCAGGGGTCTGACTTGGTTTTGGTAGTTTTATGCTGAAAAGGGGCAACAGAGTCAAGAATCGCAGAACATGTTGAATAGAAAGTGGAGAGTAGGCTGTCCGGACAAAGGGGAGGAACCAGCCCACAGTCATCAAGCAGCTGAGAGTTTCTGAAGGCAGCAGCAAACTCCTCAGCCGTTGATGGAGTAAAGATGCGGCGTCTGCGAGCTGGGGAAACTGGCTTATTGGCAGGTGGGGGGGCAGCAAAGTCGAAAACAACAGGGAGGTGATCCGAGATAGCAGTGTCGATTATTTCTCTGAGGGAAACTGAAAGCCCATGAGAAATGACAAGGTCAAGAGTGTGCCCACTCATCTGCTGTCACCTCTCAATGTCTTTAATAAAGTACATAAAATACTCAATAAATACTTCTATATACTATATAAACGGTATATACTATATCATATGTATCATAATATATATATTCACAGTGAAACTGGACAAACACCATTACCACCATTATCTACATTATCACTATTATCTCCATTATCACTATTGTGACCATTATCTCCATTAGGACCACTAGTTCCAATATCTCCACTATCACCACTAGTTCCATTATCGCCATTAGTTCCATTATCTCCATTATCACCATTCACTGATATCAGTGTTATTATTATTATAAGTATTATTATAGCTACGGTTACTGTTGTTGCTGTTGTCACTGCTCATTGTCCCCCATCGTTGCTGTTGTCATGTTCATCATCATCAGTCACTACTATTAGTGTAGTTGTTGCTACTGTTGTTGCTGTGCACCTGTCTGTCTGTCTCTCTCTCTG